TTTGATGAACGGAGGTTTCGTGCTGGAATATATCGACTAAGAAGTTCAACAAGATAGGTTGGAGCCATGTCATTTAGTGCTTTGTATGTTATCAACAGTATCTTGAATTGAATTCGTTTTGTGACCGGGAGCCAATGAAGTTTCATAAGTATAGGTGTTATACTGTCTCTTGATTTAGCACCGACTAACAAGCGGGCAGCTGTGTTTTGGATCCGTTGGAATTTTTCGATGTCACAAATCGGTAGACCGTACAATAGGCTATTACAGTAATCAAGTTTCGATGAGATGAAGGCGTGTATCAATCTTTCATTTTGCTGCGTCGAGAGGTATTTACGAACGCGACCAATATTTCTGATTGCTAGAAACGACGATTTACAGATGGAATTAATATGCGAGCGTAAGTTCATCACAGAATCTAGTGGGTGCTTTCCTCCGTTCTCTGCAATAACCTTCCGCGTATCTCTATCGATTCTCTGTAGCTCTGCAATAGGCCAAACCTGGGTCCACATAAAGTATGTGAGTACTGGTAGAGCGAGTTGATTGGTCGCAACTACCTTAAAATGATCTGAAAGAGGGCTTGACCATATCACAGAGAGTCTCCGGAGATACGTCCTTGCAGCATTTTGAAGGACAAGAGTATCTTCTTGCTTAGTGTTTTCCAGTACACCAAGGAATTTGTACTGGGAATCCTTCTCTAAACTCTTCACCAGCCCGTGTTCTCCTACCAACATTCCAGTCGACTCTTGGAGTACTCCGCGTTTCACGTGTGCAACAGCACATTTCTTCTTATTGAATGCAGCCCGATATCTTCCATGGCCTGTTTTACAACTCTCAACACTCTTTCCAAATTTCCTTCCGAAGCAGCGTAAACCTTCAGGTCGTCAACATACAACAGGTCAGTGATCTTTGCATTCGGTGATTTAGACAGACGATAGCCTTCTGTTTCCCGCACCTTCCAGGCGATGGGATTTAGGCATAGAGTAAACAAATGAATAAAGGCTGATAGTTTATAAGGAAACTGTTAGGGGCTGCGTCGTTGGGGGTAACGATATAATTTGGATATATCAAAAAAGTTAAAATGGTAAATTGGCAACCGTAACGATTACAAAAGCTGACGTTTCGAGCGTTAGCCCTTCGTCAGAGCGAATAGAGTAAACAGTTTAGAACGCAGGCATCTCCCTGGGGGAGACCTCGGCAAAAAGATATCCTCTCTGACACTTCTAGGCCCTCCTGGGTTCTAATAACTATCCTGGTGTTCCATTTATCACTGAGTCTCGCTATTAATCTCCCCATCCACTTAGGAAAGTGATACACGCCTACTCTGGGGCCTTAAGTCGCCTTAACTTTGGGCGACTTTGGGCGATTTAAGGCGACTTAAGTGAAATTGGCAGAAAAAACAATGCGACTTTGGGCGATTTAAGGCAACTTAAGGCGACGTAAAGGGATTTTATTTGACTGAAGTGATAAAATCAATGTTAGCAACAGTCTCTCCATAAACCTTAAAAATATTTATAATCCCTTGCAAGTCGCTATAGTCGAAAATATCCAGATTTCAAAGCAATTTAGCTAAAAAATAATTGGACAGAATTACTACAACAGTTATTGCTAAATTATACAGTCAAAGCTAGTGAATAAATAGCCGGGAAACCAATTTAGCTTAAAATGTTTAGACAGAATTACCACAACAGTTATTGTTAAATTATACATGTCGCGA